AGCCGAGTTCATCAGGAAAGCCAGCATGACAAGGTCCTCCAGCAGAATAGCCCAAGAGAATCAGCAGCTCCCTGACAGCTTCCCAACAGCTTCTACCAGCTTCTACCAGCTCCCAGCAGCCTCTTATGCTGCCGGCAGCAATCCTCAGGTGGGCCTCCCACTCCCAGCACCATGCTGACTCAGTTCAGCTGGGTGTTACACACTGACCACCAGTTGTCAATCCATCATGGCTTATATGGAAAATGAAAATCTCCATCTAGCTATTCATATTTAATTTTTGTTTAAATAGGAGTTGCAAGATGAAAGCTATTTAAATCCCAGATTGAGCAGTTTAAGCCGCAGAATTACCAACAGGTAGATACTGGTACTATTAGATGTTTTGCTTTTTATTTATGTGGTTAAAAAGTTACATAACCAGTAATTGTCTTGCCATTTAAAAATTTCATCAGCAATAAAATATTTGTCCTTTTATTTGTGTTTACCAAATTTCCCACAAAACATAATAATTTGTATGCAATATTCAAGATAAAACAATCTGCAAATTATAAAAACATACACATAATATTACTGTAGTATTTGAGCTCTGTTTGTCTCTTTTCTGATTCTCAAGAATCCTATTCTTAGCAAGTTAGTTAAAGTCCTGTAGAGGTCGGTTTAAACATACTTATGTGTATGCTCTTTCTCTTATCTCCTGAAGCAAAACATCAGTAATTGTAGAGAAACTAGCAAATATGTAATATTATAAATGATTGCCTACCACTGTTAAAATACCTTTTCAAGGTGCAGTTCTGCTTCATAAAATTAGAATACAGTTTATAAAAAAAAATTACCTACAATTTTGTTTTTTTATTTTACCAAAATAAAATGAGGAAAACACATTAACAAACAAACAGCCATTTACAGAATAGCAAAAGAACAGTACAAACAATACAGAGTTACAAACAAAGTGGTAGGAAATTAACAATGCTTGTTGTATTACGTATTGATATCTTCAGCGTGGTTTCTCTACATACAATTTCTTTAATCTATGGATATTCCAGACCGTATTTTGAAGGACAGATCATCCGAGTAATTGTTGACAAGAAGCTTCTAGTAGTTTAGTTTGGGAAACTGTAATCATCAAAGAATAAATATCCTATGTGAAGGGTGTGTATCTTTGCATATTTTGTAAAATAAACTCTGTTGTATGTGAGGAAATTAACTTTTACTGGTTTTTCTTTAGATTGCATTTAATGTTCTTTTTGAACCTTGGCAGCTTAAAAATATTACATAGTGAAATATGAATTATGCAGTATGAACAGTTAAGATAGTACTTTGCACATAGAGATTGATAAGTACTCGTTAAACCAAGAATTTAAGTGTGTGATGATAAAGACTAGAGTTAGCACTCAATACTTGTAAATCTGTACATATTTTTATTAAAATCCCTTGATTAAAGTTAAGATGCTGGCATGGGGAATAAATATGGTACTTTTAGTTTTGACTCAGTGGATGCTGAGATAAATTTATTTTTTTGTCTTCTTAGAAAGCTTGTTTTGAAATGCATTTATCTCTTTTAACAGGCATCTTTTCCCTCTCATGAAGAATTACTAAAAGTATAAGTAGGAGGTTTTACTCACTGTATGGGAAGTGGTAACTTTTTATGTGCATAACAGTTCAGAGAAGCATTTTGATTACCTCCAAATGGTCGCCTGATTTTTATAGTTATTTGTATATCTTGAACTTCAGGGCAGTGGATCTTACCTGTGCTTTTTCGCTGACTTATATCCTTTTTATGATATTTGGATTTCTTGGAAAAAGTTTTTGAATGAGATGTTTGGATATTTTTAGGTTTTTTTTTTTCCTTTTCAGGCATTCAGATAACACCCAGTTGAATCATATCAAACTATTTTAAGGCATTACTGAATCGCCTTTAATTATCTCAGGTGTCCTAAAGCAGAAAAGACTCTTGCTTCCACTCGGGAGCTCCTGCCCTTCAGTAAGCCTTTGTACCTCCAGCTTGTTCCCTCCATATGTAAAATAGGTGGAACTGGAATGTAACTTTTTTCAATTAACAGCAAGCGGTCTGCTTCTGTACTTCCTGTTTGCTTGCAAACCCTATAAAAACCCTGCTCGCTGAGTATTTGGGAGCGCTCCCAGTCAGGACCGCTGGTGTCAGGAAAGCTGTACACTTGTCTCCAAACCTCGGTGCCTCTCGGTTCTTGGTCTCCGTCTGCTGTAGCACTTGCTGTGAGCTGTAGCATTTGCTATGATAGTCCTACTGAGTCCTCTTATTCTGAACCTTACTGTGGAATTGAATGGTGCAGATTTTGGTAGCTCTTGCATTTAAAGCAGATTTATAATCTTCAAGGTTGCTTTCTTAAGGAGAACTTTTTCCTGAAACTCTTCTCTTATTGGTCTATAGTTTTATCTAAGAGGCTGCACTTAAGGTCATTTCAGATATGTTATAGTATATCTCAACATGTTAAATTTCAACCACATTAAGCATACTCACAGGTGTTAGAAGTCATCTAAATGTTCTTCCATCTTGGTTTGTTGACAAAGTTGATCCTTTATAAGGTTAGAATTATTTACGAGTTTAAGTCTTTAAGTTTGACTGTATGAAACAAGCCTGACACTTATGTTCTATAAAGGGCTTGGCAGTGAAAACTTTAAGCCTGTGGGGAACATAGGTCTCCGTTTCCTTTCACTTTTTCTTTCCACTGCGTTTACATTTAAAAATGTAAAACAAGAGGCTGCACACAGCAGCATACACCTCTAGTTATAGCTAATTGTGTGGCTGAGGCAGGAGAATCACTTGGGTCCACATGAATTTGGGTCTAGCCTGGGTAATATAGCAAGACCTTGGATCAAAAACAAACAAGCAAAACAATAACTGTTAGGTTAAGGGCCACACACAAATATGCTGTGAGCTGGGCAGTCTCTTATTCTTATTTTAATAAAGAGCTATTTATGATTTAACTTTGTAGCCAAAATTTTATATTTAGTTTTATTCTTAAGAAAAAACTATTTGTGATTTAATTTTTTACTAAGCCACTCTCAGTCAAACAGTTGAATCTTTACCATTGTTTCCACACTTCTGGGAAACAACAAACTCACTAAACAGGATGAGGAGGGAACACGAATCGTATGAGGGGTGTGGAAGTGGCAGGGGAGACCTGTCGTCTTAATATGCTGTCTTTGTGGGTGAGCCACTTAAGAGTCATACCTGATTTTATTGCCTTTTGAAAAAAAAAAAAAAAAACAGGCAAAGTACTGGTTCAATATCTGTTATCAGTCCTTAGAGAAATAGCTACTGATGGGACACACTGCTGTAATCTCACCACTCTGGGAGGCTGAGGCAGGAGGTCTGCAAGTTTGAGGCCAGCCTGGGTACCTTAGTGAAAGCCTGTCTCAAAATAAACAATTCAGAGAGGGCTGGGGATATAGCTCAGCGGCATAAGCACCTGCCTGGCAAGTGCCAGGTCCTGAGTTCGATTCCCTATACCAAAAAAAAAAAAAAAAGGCAGAGGGATGAGGTTAGGAGGAGCTCAGTGAGAAGGCCCCGGCTCTACTCTCTGGTATCACCAGTGAATAAGTGAGTGAATAAATAACTACAAACTAAACAATTACTGTACTACCAGATAAAAAAGGAAATAACAACTACAGCATTTCATATACTTATGAATTGTTTATTCAGGGCTGAGATTTCTGTTTAGCACGAACCTCAGCACGTTATGTGTACAAACTTATTTTAGAAATCACTTCTGAAGTTAAGAATTCATAGCATAGGCTTTCTGTGGTAAACAGTGGCTAAGCTGTCATTAAGTTAATGCAGTTTTCAAATCATTACCTACTTGCAGTAGCAGTGATATGTAGTTATCTAGATTATATTACTGGTTAACTATACCTTAGTTATGCTTCTGCTTGTCTAAAATTACTCTTTACTAAAAATATGTGTACAGATTCTGGTTTAGAATTTCAGAAATGGAGAGATAACTGGGCTCCTGAATGAATTAGATTCTTTGAAGAATGCAGTTGACTATCAGAGGAAGAAAAATAAGGTAAGCAAATCTTCACAAGAATGAAACTTTGCTTTTTATTGCTTCAGCTTAGGAAGACAGTTCAGGAACTTCTTTGAATTTAATTTTACTTTAGATTTCTAAGTCTTTGTAAGAAAATATTATTGCTTTCTGTTTGTAGCTTTTGGAGGGTATTACTAGAATAATTTTATTGGAGAATAGATTTTTTTATAGGTGAGACACCAATTTTTACACTTAGGAATATCATTTTAAATGCTGAAGCTAGGATTATACCTATTTTTTTTTTCTAAACTAGCAGTTGACTTTTTGTTATCTGGAAAAATAATTCTTTAAACTCAGAATTTTAAAGTCAAGTTTTTTCCTCTTATTTAGATCAGGCCAGCCTTTTTGTGTACTAAAAGTGATGCCAGTGTTTAAACCTAATTTTCTCAATATTTCAGTTTTTGAAACCTTGTGAAGTTTCACTTTTTTAACTGAGAAGCATGCCTGTGAACTGTGGTGTTCAAGTCCGTTGGAGGCTTTAGGACCAGAGCAAATGTATACTAGAAAGTGGGAAGGAGCCGTTCTTTAAGAGCAAATATAGTACAGTATTTTTACTGAGCAAATAGTGATTATAGGTGAATTTCACAAATTCTCTTACCAAAAGTCAACACCTACAGAGTCTATATTCTACCAAGAGAAGGAATATTTGCACACACAAGTGTGATTGCTAAGATGCGGGCAGGGCCAAAATGTTACTGAAATCTAAGAGAATACTGATAATGAATGGATATGTTTTCTGATATAAGTTAAACTTTTCAAAGTTTATGTTAAATTTTAATGTAACAAGTTGGTATTTTCCTGCACCCCCGAGTTTGTCAAAATTAGCGGTGTGAATTGCCTTTGTGTGTTGTGTAACATCGCTAACAGCACTGCTCAGTACAGAACTCGCGGTGGGCTATGCACTGTCCCGCTAACATTGTGCTGTGTTTGTGGTTGGGGTTCTGAGATAAGGACGGCAAGGCGATGCCAGTTTAATGCAGCAGCAGCAGCCGCGGCAGCAGTACCCGGAGCCCTTGAGACATGGTGAGGGCCGGGACACTGGAGCCCAGCAGAGCACAGCGCCTATCCACTCTAGTTCTGCCTCTTCGTTTGCTGTGTGTGCTTGGCCATATTTCCTAACTTTCCACCATGGTTTTCCTGTCTATAAAATGGGGATACTGTAAATACTTTATAAATTGTTAGAAGGATTAGTGAGAGTTTGTGAAGTGTAATATTTAACACCTAAACATTCAGTAAATAGTGTTTATTGGCTTTTTATTTTTTGTTTTGCTTAGATTTCTACCTCTAAAGGAAGATTGAAATATGGCATATTGTCTCTATAATTCCTGATGAAGTACTGTTAAAATCCAAATCTTTCAGAGCTCAGTTTTCAGTGACCTTCATTTCTCCTCTAAGAGAATGTGTTTTATAGCTTCCCAGCTGCCTCATTTGCCTCGGTCAGTTACCTTGTACAACCAGTGTCAGATTGTTTTGTAACATACGTATTTGACGATGCCAAAAAGATATAGAATATAGTGAGTTAACTCCACGTCATTCCTAGTTCGATTAGGAAAGTGTTAACTGTATTAAAACAAAGTTATAGGGAAAATGGTAGGCTGCTACGGAAAGTCCCATAAGTGATTTGGTCTTTGCTTTAAGATCATGTGAAAAGCTTTTGCAATGTCTGTATATTTGTTCTGTCCTCAATCCTGTAATATTTGGTAACTCAAATCACACTTGTAGTCTTGGTTTATGTGTTTAGTTTTGAATGCTTTCTTCGTCTCATACGCACAGTAGTTGTTTTAGAAGCTGGCACATTTGGTGTGTATACTAAAACTTGGAAAGTGGGCATCTTTATTTTCTCATTCAAGCTCTAAACATTGATTTTTATTTTTTTGCTAATGTACGTATTTTCCCATTGAAATAATCTTGCAGCAACCAGCATTTAAATGTAGCGCAAAATACCAATGAAAGTAAAAAGCAAACATCTTTTGATAATGGATAAACTGAAATCATTCTTTCTAAAAATGATTAGGACCTTCGGGAGAAAAACTGGGAAGCAATGGAAGCATTGGCATCAACTGAAAAAATGCTGCAGGACAAAGTGAACAAGACTTCCAGGGTTGTAACATTAACTTCTAGAAACAGTCCACTGAACGGAGCAAGTCTGCAGCTTGTCTTAAAATCAGTCTAAAGCATTTAATTTTACTGCAATTTAAATATAAAACCTCCTTGTCATCCACATTTATCATCACTCTCATCTTCGCTTTTCTCATCTACACCTTGAGGTTTTAATTTGAGGCCTGCTGAGTTGTTGGGTGACTTCATTGTTGGGGCTTTGATGAGCACTGCGGTGACAGCTGCACAGTTTCAGGAGGCCGATGCTGTGCATGCAGGCCTCACCAGACAAGGTGTGCCTGTCGGGGGTTCTGAGAACTTGGAAACCCCTGAGCCAAAGAAATCAAAACTGTATTGGCAATCACACATAAGTTCCTAGCATGCATCCAGAATACATAGTGGACTCAGGTTTTTGGAGGCACACCAAGAAGACTCAGACAAGGTGTGAAAATGACAAAGTCTTAAAAATGCAAGCAAGAGATCAGTTTTGAATATGTTAATAGGGATGGTTTCCTAGAAGAGGAGGCCTTAACTATAGTACTTACTCCTGAAACATACATCCCTCTTTGTTTTCAAAATGATGAAGGACATTCTTCTTGAGTTTAAGTTTTCTATCAAATGTGAAGATTTCTAATTGTCACGGAGAGGCACCTTTTCAAGATTGAGACAGCTGAACCAGAGTGGAACAGGAGTAGTGAATTTTGCACATGGATTAGCAGGAACCCGTATGATTATGCTCAGCCTTCTAAAAGTTTGTGTGTTTAGGTAATCTTGAATTTTAAATACAAGTCTTGGAGATATTTGAAAGACTTTTCTTAGCAGAATATATTTTTCTACAAAAAATTTTGCATTACATTTTATTTCTTGAAGTAGGTTTATACGTATTCATCTGGCTGTAATTTTCACTAATTCTTGAGTTTGAGATACATGGCAAAATTATGACCAGGAAAACAATAGGCCAGAGAATAGAAAAATTGAGGTGAGACATTGTTTCGTTGTGAATAGTTGCATTTGTACAGACATTTCTGTCAGCAATGAGAATCTGATAAGGTTTCTCTGCCCCTTTTCCCCCTGTTTGTTAAGAGCTACATTTTTGCTTCTATTTTGTTAGTGGGACTGGATGGCTAAGAAGTGCTGATTGTGCCATCCCCACAGAAGTGGCCAGAGGCATATTATGATTGTAAAAGAAAGCTGGAGCTAATGTGCACGATGGCTTCTTGCATAACTAATCATCTATAGAGAGAATTTACTGCCTTCTCTGACTCAACAGAATTTAGATGTCCTTAGAAAACATAGATGTGAAGTGGTGTTTATTCTACCAGTTCCCCTCCACCAGAGACCCCTCTACCCATTTTTCTCTTTTAAACCTGGTAGTTTCTTGTGCAGTTTCCCTCAGTTTAGATTCTGCTGGTGTCTCTGTGGAGCCCATGGGTTGGTATTCAGTAGAGGTCTAATCGGATTCAGTCTCAATATTTTGGAGGTAGGACAATGTGAGCAGTTGTATTCTTCCATCAGTAGGTCATTTATAATGTCTGCTTTGTCTTTCTTGGAGTTTATTAGGCTGGCTATCAAGTCTTTTTGACACAACACTACCCAACTTTGATAACATCTGCACTTTATGGTATAATAAGACCTTGCTGATTTCTTACATTTCCCATCCCAAACATGGAATCTGTTTCTCCAGGGGTTCTGCTCCTCCAGGTGTGGGTGTTAAGTATTGGGAACACCTGTAGTAAGTCTTCAGTTTTCTTCAGGATGTTAAACTGCACGGCGAAATAAAAGAGCAAGAGATAAATAGAATGTAGTGGAGATCTGGGGTGGCCAATTGTTCACAGGGAACAACAGGCCACAAGACAGCCAGAACCGGGGCTGGGGATTTAGCTCAGCGGCAAAGCGCCTGCCTGGCAAGCGCAAGGTCGTGAGTTCAGTTCCTGGTACCGGAGAAAAACCAAAAAAAAAATAAA